AATGAGAAAGACGTTATACTTTGAATTATCCGAAAAATACTCGTCACTGTTGGAGCATTTGGAGAAAATCCAGTTTGGTATAGGAGCCGAAGTAAATATTCCAACTTTTCATTTGAGGCGTTTCCACAATTGTCACGCACGGAGTCAATATTTCAATCGAAATATGTATAATGCGAGCAACGCTCAGGTAATGTTGCTTACCGACAAACAATGGCCACCAATTTCTAAAGAAGGCAAATAAACAAAATAATTTAATTTAGCCGATCCGAATATGGAAAGAAGAAAAGATGATACAAACTCATATAATGCGCCAGACAAGGCCACGAGCAGTCCTCCACAAGCGAGCACGAATGCTAGGAAAATGATGCTTAAAACAGGCATATTCAAATAATATCCCGGTTAGAAAATATATGTTTATTTATTTATTCATTTTGAATCAAAGGAGCAAGAACAAGAACGAATCGCAAAGAAATCTGCTTTTTTTAGACTTGTGTGGCATACGAACGCTAGAGTGTATGTAAAATAAGCATAAATCAGTACAAGTGTAAGTTACGATTACAAAGACTCAACCAAATAAGAAAAGTACTTTTTAGGCCTGCCATTGCCGTTTAAACTATTGAACGTTGAGTAACAGTAGCTATAGCGGCTTGTGTTTTATAAACAATGAATGATTTCCTTCCGAAAGAACGTTGCGAATAAATACTTGAAAGATTTAAAACCATCTAGGGCAATTCAGGTTCAAACACGGAGGAAAATAAATAGTTACCTATGTATGTACTGTACATACTCTACCTATTCCTAAGCGAGCGATCTGCGTGAATTATTGATTGTTACACGCAACATTCTATTAGGAATTTTGAATAATGGCATTATGGTGGTGATTCAACGGATAACTACAGTGCGTAATTTAAGATATAGCAGATAGTAAATCTTCAAGGAATTATTCTATGCACGTTAGACAAATTTATATTTAGACTTACCTTTATTTGTCGAAATAATTGCAGAAAAGGAAATGAGTGACTTGCAGCCGCTGCGAAAAAAAGTCTTTTGACTCTCTTGACGATAAACAAATACATAGAACACTTTAAACCTTCATTTGTACCCTAACTTTTTTATCTTTAAACCTGCATAAAATTAAACCTTAAACACCTTTCACATACCAGCCCTATTCACTTCATTCGTTCTATGCTATAGTTTTGTCATCCATGCCTTCAGAAAAGAAAAAACGCGTTTTACCTCCACCTCCGGGTTTAGATTTCACCATTCAGCCGAAGGATAATCTGGTTGAAGATTTGAGATACGCGCTTGACCATGCCAAAGAATTATTTTCTGACATAGCCTGGGAGTTCACCTCAGCGTTAAACCCAACCACCATCTATGCACATAAAGGTAGGTTACATCGCTAATACTATTGGTTTGCTCTTAATTTTTCGGAAATTTCGAAATAGATTACTTGCTTAATTCTATGTCTTTTCTTTTATCCAATTTTCTGACGACCTTTAGCTATTCTATATGCTCGAAGTTCACGTTCATTTAAAGAACGCTTCCTAAAAAATAAAGACATGAATGGGCAGTCCATTCGGTCCTTGAGATTATCGAATCCCGATCCAATAAGTATGAAGACCGATGCCGACCCATTTCTTTTTAAACAGGAATTGAAATTTTTTTATACCGGTGAAGAGGGGAGTGAAGAATTTTTGGCTGCTGTTGATACTACGGATGAACTCGAACAACAAAAATTAAAAGAAGATTTATTATATATGTATAAGTCAAAATTGTATACCGATGTTGAGCTTGTTTTGGAATTGGACGAGGATAGTCTCGAAATAATTGAAGAGGATGATGAGGACGTATTTAAACCTATAACCATTAGGGCGCATCGATTCATATTGTCCACAAGGTCGGAGTACTTCAAGAGAATGCTTATCTCGGATTTTCTTGAAGCTCGTACTGCATCAATAAGTCTTGATGCTTCCATTTTTAATCCGACTTCAATTAATTTGATTCTTTCGTTCATTTATACTGGAAACCTTTCTTATAATCAGAAACCGTTGACCTTAGAAATGTGTGAGTGGGTGTGGGTTGGTGCTGACTTTTTAAACATTAAAATACTCTGTGATGAAATAATTTACCGAATCTCTACTAAGCTGCATTATTTCACTTGTGTTTGTGGAGACTGTCAAATGTTCGTTCCCAGGGTAGCATCATTTGCGAAGAGGCATGTTGTTGAGAATTTATGGCAAGGATGTTTGCACGCTTTGTCTAACGGATTTGAAAGCATGTGGCCTCACAAAGAATTTGCAAATCTTGACGAGGACATACGAGAAGAAGTTCTTAAGGAATTGCTTGATACCATTCAAAGTTCCAACATTGTTTCCGTTTTCAAAGGTTGCCGAAAAATCTATTCCGAGATTGACATCAAGGGAATAGGTCTTCCTTGGATCGAAACAGTTCGTTACATGACAAATCAAGTTCGCTCATATGCTGCCCAAATTTTGGTCGATAATTTTGAGCAGCTTTGCGAGGATCAGGAATTTTTGGATTGTGTTGATGGGATGGGATTTAGCACGGACATATTGGAGGACATTATGGCCATTATAGTAGAGGAGGGATTGACTGAAAAAAATTCAGCCCGTGTGCTCAAATCTATTACTGGGAAATTATTAACGAGACCGGCGGTTATGAATGCAGAGTCCGTTGAAACAAAAAGAGTATTGATACAAGCAAAACAAGATGTTTTTAATTATATAAAAAAACGTTGGATGGGCGTAAAACAGTTTGGTGGATTTAGATTATTAAGCCCTATGCTTTTGGACGAATTTGAAAAAGGTGAGTGGATTTTATTTGACAATTTAAAAGGATTGGTCCGTTTCAAAACTAGATTCATTTATTCCTATTTCGCATTGCCGTTACCTTTTAAGAGTTGGGAGTCGATCGTGATGAATTACAAGCACCTTGCGATCAAGATCAAAATCAAAATCAGAAACCAAAAGTGAAAACGCCCAGTTCGACCAATGGGCTTTCGAAGAAAGCTTCGACACCTACGGTCAAAACTACATCCACAGTTCAGGTGACACCGGCGATTGTAACAACACCGCCACCAGTAGCAACATCGACTGCTTCTACGGAAGATGTGGCAGAATCAAATGAAACCACAGAAGCTGTGTCAACAGTGACGACATCAACTACGTCTTCGAAATCAACTTCTTCGACAGCGTCATCGTCAAAACCAGTTCGGAATACGGAAAAGAAAGGCAAAAGCGTGCGTATCGGCGGTGCTACTACTGCTCCAGCGTGGGATCGCCCAACCCGTGCCAGTGTTTTACGGCAAAAAGCGTTGGCCGAATCTTCAGCAAAGAATCCTGTAAAAGCACGGACAAAAGCAGCCTCTACATCAAAGCAGCCTTCTGTTTCATCAACTAATTCAGCGACACCAAAAACGACAAAGATTACCCCTAGCAGCAAGACAACAAAGACAGTGCGTCAATCGTCATCAAACTCCAGTCTTCGAGTTCCTGCGGGTGGTACAAGTTCACCAAGGGGCCGCCCATCCGATAAGCAAACTCCTAACTCATCACGACCAAGTTCAATTTCTTCGACGAAATCTGCAGCATCGCCATCTGTATCTCCATCACGCTTCAATGGCGTGAAGCAGACTCGCGCCAGTATGCTAAGGCAAAGTAAATATGATGAAGCACAACAAAGGCGTGGCCGTGATCGTGAACGTTATATTTCACCGAAATCATCGCGAACCAGTTCTGTCGCATCAGCCTCCTCTAACAATAGCTATACGACCACGTCATCGCATCACAGACGAAAGCGGTCTCCTTCAATAAATTCAACTTCAACCACAATTACGTCCGCCTCAAGCGGTGCCATCACTCGATTGTCGCCTGAACCACACCAGATCAAATTAGCCACAGTTCCTAACCCGGATATTTCTGTAGGTAGACGTGTGATTCTTCCAACCAAGAATAATGCTCCTGGAACAATACAATTTTTGGGTGAAACAGAATTTGCAAAAGGAAACTGGGTGGGAATAGAACTCGATAATCCTGGTAAGTTTACTGATACCATTTTCGAAGGAACCATCATTTTGAAATTGATCTAATATCAATTTTTTCTTTACATAGTCGGCAAAAACAATGGTGTGGTGGCTAACATTAAATACTTCGAGGCTGCCAACAACCATGGAATATTTGTTAGACCAGATTCTATTTTATTAATATGAATCCGACCTAGAAATTTTTGTTAGAAATCAAGTAAAAGTCGAAGTCTTTAAATTCTTGAAACAATTACATTAAAAACTTACTCATTTAATTCATTTTTATTCATTCATCTAAGGAAGTTCCCATGCTTAAACTGGCAATTTCCTGTCAATTAAATTCTCACCTAGAATAAGCTTGCATATTCGTATGTTATCCCTTACATTATACTCCTTACTACAATTAATATTCATCTCTTTTGTATTATACACACCATTTTATTTGTTATTGGGCAACCCTTTTTTTCTTAAAAAATCATGGTTTATAAATGGAATTGTGAAAAAAATGAATTATAAAGACTTCCGACAAAATTATTTATATAAATATATACTGTAACTAACAAAAAATTTATAAATATATATAAACCTGGCTTACTTACAACCATAGGAAATTAGTTTACATGGTCCTGCAACAAAAGTATTATTGGTATATATAGTATATACAGTAAAATAAAATTATCATAGAACGCATTAATACAATTGGTTTTCATATAATATCTGGCTTCTTTAATAGTTGATTATTCCTGTTTAAAAATAGTTTTCAAATAAAAGAAAATATAAAAAAATAATAAAATTATTATTAATCAAAGTATTAAAACTATTATTATTGTTTTTTACAATACTGATCTTATAATTGCAATTTTAAATATATGAAATTTAATTATTTGTTTGAGATTTTCTTTAATGAATATTGATTTTATGCATTTTATATATTTAATAAATCTATTTTTTGTTTATTATAAAAATTTTTTTCTAATATTTTAATTTTACTGCTTTTATAATTAAATAATTTTTTATTAAATGTATAGAATTTTAATTTATTTTATTATAATATCTGTAATCAAAATTATAGTTTATTAATTAATTGAATATATAAATACAATTTATTTGAATAGTATAATATATATTAGTTAAATTATTTATTCAAGTTTAACAAACTTAGTATAAGTAATAAATCTTTAAGTTTAATTTTAAAAACAATAGTAAAATTAAAATTAAAATCTTTTCGGATTATATATTATTATTAGCAGATTATTATTATCATATATTCCATTAAACTATGTTAAACACTCGCAACACACTTAACTATATACATTAAACTTTTCAGAAACATCAAAGATAGAAGTATACATTGTTTTACTAACTTGTTTTACTTCTTTTTCTTAAATTTTTTAGGAGAAAGAAAAAAAACCTAAAAATTGATTCACAGTCAGAAAAAAGAAGCCAATATCAACTTCATATAGCTTATAGCCAGGCTAGTATAGGTTAACACCTTTCTTGATACTATAAGAAATCTAAAAAGTAACTAAGTCCACTTGATAAATCAAGTTGCTCCAGTCACATCAAGGCCCAGAAGGATATCAAAGCTTCCTAAAGACAAGACAGTCT